GGTGCCTGGGAAAGCAGCTGAGAATGGCTCAGGTGCTTGGGCCCCTGCACTCACGCAGAAGACCAGGAGAAAGATCGAGGCTCCTGGCTTTTGCTTAGTCCAGTTGTGGCCATGAATCAGTAAATACAAGATTCTCTGTCTCTTCTTCTTTCTCTCTCTGTCTTCAGATAAAATTTTTAGAAAATCTTGTGCCTGTTGAGACAGATACATTGCCCCAAGTCCAGAAAGACCACCCTATAGGGGCCTAGGGGATGGGCGTCAAGGGCCAGAAACCCTTGAGGCCAAAAGACAAGGGACATTTGGGTTCCGACTGGCCAGTCCTTGCCAGCTGCCTCTGACCACATTCAACCCCTTACAGAGAGCCCCACATAGCTGAAGGCACTTCAGAGGGTCCCTTTTCCTGATAACCCAGACACAGCCAAAGCACAAAGAGTTCAACTGGCAAGGACACTGCCAACTGTGAAGTGAATCCCCCATCAGGCCTTTGCAGAGCCTCCGGGTGGCCACGCCCCGTGCACGCAGCTGAGGCCGCATCCTTCTGCTGAGAAGAGAAATCCAGGGGTTCCTTCTGACCTCCCTTCCTTTTGGGGTACCCCCTTCTCTTTCCTCATGGGCACCTGAGGAGTGAACCAGCACTCCCCCTCTGCCTTTCAACCTTGTCTTCAAAAGGTGGGACTCAGCTGAAGAAAAGCCTCCTGGCCGACTAGGCCTCCTGCTTGGAGCACCAGCTTTGGCTGGCAGATAGCCTCACACCTCAGAGACACGAGTTACACAGAAACTCAGACCTCGGGGACTCGTGCTTAAACCCACAGATCTCTCTCTGCCAAAACATACCAACACCACCATTCGACCAAGAGGTTCTACTTAGAGCTGCCTGGGCCTCCGATTCCCTCATCTCCCAGACGGTTCTGGTTTTGCTGGTGGGAGTCTTACAAAGCTGAATCACGGAGAAGTGACCGAGCTACCGAAGACAGCAGGCGCCCGGACAGGCGCTGCCAGCAGGTTCTGCTGGGCTCAGGTGGGCAGCGGCAGCCTGAAGTGAGAATGGAGTCTTTGCCAACCCCTTCTGTTCTAACCTGACATGGCTCGTTCCCCAGGGTAGCATCAGGTGAAATGGAAAACAAGACCGGATGTGAGGAGACTGGTGTGAGTGAAGTTCCCATTCTCTTCCAGGTGGGTGTCTCAGCTGCAGGGAGGCAAGATTACGGGGGCGGGGGGGTGGAAGGGGATCCTGGCACACACTGCATCCTAAAGAATTACTGGCTGCTGTAGCTAGTCAGCATGAATGCACTGGGCTGAATTTAACAAAAGTCATAAGCAGCTTAGTGCTCCCAGACGTAAATTGATGATGTAACAGGATCTGCACCCCAAGTCTGTTTGGGGCATCATGACATGGCCACACAAAGCCCCTCCCAATGCCTGGCCCCCGGCAGCCCTCCATCAACATCCGCTGTTGGAGTTAGCAATTCTAGGGGTCTTGGGGGGGCTGTCAATTTTAAAGATTTCTTAAGAGGGCTTCTATTTGTAGGCTTACTGCCCAAATGCCTGCTATGTCCCAGGACTGATTCCAAGAACAGAACCTTCCCAGGGGACAGAAAACCACGCACCTGAGCCATTCTTGCTGCCTTTCAGAGTCTGGACAAGAAGCAAGGGAACTGGGACCAAATGCAGATGCCCCAATATGCAGCTGCAAAGTCAAAGGTCCACCTCACCCCCGTCTTATTTCTGAATAAAACAACACTCACCCAAAAGATGGTTGAGCTATCTACCAACCACACCTGGGCCAACTTGGTCTCAGAGGGTATGAAACCACCACCAGGTCTCACCTGGCCATATGCCAGCACATCCTCCTGTTTCAACAGCCTGTGGGCAGCCTAAGAGCTAATCCATACCTACTGCATGACCAAGAGAACGGTGCTGCGGGCTAACGCTCCTGCATCCGGGCATTCTCCACGGAGTCCACCACAACCTCAGCCAGAACTCTTCCTGGATCAGGTTCAGAAACCAAAGCTTGGGCGAGCTGGCCCTGCGTGCAGCCAGTTCTCTGCCTGTCACCAGCCCCTGACACCAGAGGTTCTCCAGAAGTTTCCACGTCCCTACCCTATGGATGAAGCAGCAAAGTAAATCCCTGAAATGAGAGCAGCACAACAGCAGGGCTGGGAAGACAGCAGCCAGGGGGCCCCAGGGCAGGCCCAGTGCCATGCCACACGTGGCCCTAGATGCCTGCAGCTGATGGGGAAACATCCAGGAGTAAAGGTTTACACTAGAATTCCAGCTGAGCAGGGTGCAGGGGGAGGTGGGGACTCTGGGGGAGAGGCTGCTCTGCGGGAGGACACACCCACTCCCTCCTGCCCTGGGAAGCCTGAGCAAGCCCCATGGCCCACACCCAGTCTTCCCCAGGCAGTTGGGAGCCACCCAGGGAAGGAACCGGCCTGTCTGCTGCTGCTTGGGGCGGTGGGCTCAGTGCTCCTCTGGAGATTGGAGGGCCTCCCTGTCTATTTTGGGCGCCTGTTAAGTGCATCACGTGACAGTCCCAGCAGCCAATGTCAAGTCCACTTTTCAGAAAAATAAACCCCCCCTCCACTGGCCCCAAGCTTCACCTGTGGCGCCCAGGCCCAGGCTGTCCCCTTCCCAAGCACAGCCCACTGCTCTGAGAGGAGAGGAAGGAGGCCTTGGAACCCAGCCCTGGGTCTCCAGCTCTGCCGGGTTCGCGGGAGGAGGGAGGGGAGAGAGGGAAGGGGAAGGGGGAGTCAGACCCCCAGGCCTCTTTCTGCTCCCATTTGGGCTGACACCTCCCTCCCCAGGCTTTGGTTACCCACTTTGCAACACTGAAAGGCTAACGGAGGCCATGTGCTGCTCCTGGCATCTCATTTTTCCTAGGTGCACCCGCGTCTCTGGAACAGGTGAATCACGTGGTGTGACTACCCCTCGGTGATCCCCCACCACTCTGGCAGTCTGAAGCTGCCACTGGTCACCCTCCACCCCACCCCGGGATGGCTTCTAAGGCCGCACCTCTCTATCCCGCAGTTTGAAAAGAACCTGATGCCATCCTCCAACCCCATCCTCCCCACCCCCTACTTTCAATTCCCACACCACACTTCCCTAAATTCCCAACGCGCTCGCCGCTGCACCGGGTGGGGGGTTGGGAAGCCAGGATTTTTTCTGGAACCCAGATTTTCCCCCACCCTCCCACCCCCTGCCCCACCCTCTTCCGGGGCGCCGTTCCAAGCAAACCCTGGATTCATACAACCCAGCCCCCACCCCAGACAACCGGTTCGGTCTTTCTGGAGGCCCCTCACCTCAGCGGTGAGGGGAGAGGCAGCGCGTCGGTTCCAAGTCGGGACCCCCAGGGGCTGACACCTGCTCGCAGCGACCCCGCGTGCAGTCCTCACCGTGACTGTGTCACTTACCGACGGAGCCGGAGAAGCGCAGGCCTGGAGCAGGTGACGCGCACGGAGTTTGCTGACTCAAAGGCGCGGCGGCGGCGAGCGCCCAGCAACGCACGCGAGCGCAGCCCCGCACGCCCCGCGCACGTAACGGCCCCGCGCGTGGCGCCGCCCGCGGCCCGGGTACCGCCTCTCCCGCCGCGCGCGCCGCTGACCGTTACGCGGAGCCTGCGTCCTTCTTCCCCAACAGTCGGATTGGGATGCTGAAACGAAAGTTGGGCGAGCCGAAATCCCGCCAGAGCCGGAACCCTGGTGGGCGCGGGGAGAGGTGAGTCAGCCAGGTAGGTGCTCCCTGGAGGGAACTGAGGGGGGGGGAGGGTTCTGCTTGTGGCCTGGGAAGGTCCACTTTTCTGTTTGGGGTTTTTGAGAAATTAATATTGGAGGAGAAAGCTAAGAGAACCTGAGGAGGCCTGAATCGCCAAAGTATTTCTGCAGGGGCCCCTTGGGCGAATCTGCCCCTGGATGTGAGGAGAGGGAAGGACCCCGTGGCTGGCGCAGCCTCCTCCTTGTTTTCCCAGGCGTCGCAGCTGGAAAGCCCCCACGTCCATGTGTTCACAGACAGGGTCCACTGGCTTAGGGTGTCCCCGGATAAGGACTCCCCAGCGGTGCTAGGAGGAAAGCTTACTAACCCCAGGGGCAGTTAGACACCAGGAGCTCCCTGAAAACACGACCACACGAGGAGCAGTTTACCTGGGCTTCTCCAGCAGAGGGTGTTGGGGGGGGCGGGTGACCAAGGCCAGCCAGGGAGCCCCCACCCCCATCCCTGCTCACACGGGGAGCGACATACCTGTTAAAAGTTCAGAAAATGGCGGCCCTCTCCTCCCTTGGGTGGAGAACTTAAGGTTAGGAGGAAAGCTCCGCCAACTGGTCTCTTGCGGCTTCAATGGCTCCCTGTTTGCAGCGTCCGAGTTGCTGTGAGATCAGTGTGACCCACTGAGCTCTCCTGTGAAAAGCCAGCGTGGGCTGGTTGACTTCTCTGTCCCCTGTCCCTGTTCTCCCCTCACCCTTGCCCTTTGGCTACCAAATGCCCCCTGAGTTTCAATCCTACTTCTTGAGGGGTAAAACAGGTAGTCATGCTTCTGTAACTGCTTCCTGCTGAACCAGGGACAAGATGAAGACAGAAGTAGCTATGACCTCCCGGTCAGGCATTTGGAGGAAGCCTGCCTGACACGCGTTCAGTGTGGGGTCCTTCAGAGGAGTGGCTCGGCCAGAGGGTTCAATTGAGTTGCTGTGTTCTCTGTGAGTGGTCAGCAGAGGCAGACGGGGTTCAGCGGCTCCCGAAGAATCAGCAGAGAGCAGGCACCACCTGCCCTAACGGTGTGTTTTCTTGTCCCCAGTTTCCACATGTTGGCAGGTGAAGGGACCCGCCTAAACTGGAAGGAAACACAAACAGGCAGACACGAGGCGGAGGCACCAGGGAAGACCTTAAAGCAGTTTTTGCAGCTGTCTTGGCAGAGCTTAGCTGAGGTTAGAGAGAAGGTCTTGCTGTATCGGGTAATTCTATCCGCCAGCTTTGGACCCAAAACCTGCTCATTTATCACTTTGTCCAGTCACAAGCAAACCAAATCCTAGGAGAATTTTTCTTGGCAGACTTTATTTAAGAGAGACAGAAATCACCCATCTGCCTGGCTCACTCCTGAACTGCACTAGGCCACAGCCCACAGCTGGGACACTCATGCATATCTAAAACATGGGTGGCAGGGACCCAGGGCTGTGAGCCCTCCTGTGCTGTCTCCCCAGTGTAGGCGGGCAGGAAGGAGAAGAGCTGGGACTGGCACAAAGGCATCCCCATGTGGTCCGTGGGTGTCCGCCACAGCCTCTGAACTCCTTTTCCAAATCCCCCACCCTCTGAAGGCTTTACCACTTAGGACGTCAACTTCTTCCAGAAACTTCGTCAGCCTCCTGCTTACTGGCGTAAAGAGACAGAAGCATCTGGTTTAGTGGCCAGTGTGTGGGTGCCTTGTCCAGTGGTGGAGATGCTGGACCTGCCCTGAATTGCAACATTGCACATGCTTTCAACTAAGGTAGGTGAGGTGACCCAGGGCAGACAGGTGGGACCTCCACTCTGACCTCCTTGGGCAGCCCCATGGATGAGTTGCAAGGATTGAGAGGGCATTTCGCTAGGGCTGGAGAGGTGGGGGTAGGAGTTCGGATTCTGGAGGGAAGCTGGTGGGAAGCTGAGACAAGTTGGGTGGGGCATTGACAGGGGTCTTCGATTGTCTCTAACAGATTCAGGAACAAGTCCGGCCACCATTTTGGAGAAGTACAAAGATCATAGGAGTTTCCAGTAGAGCTCTTCCTGGGCATGCATTGGCTGCCAACGCCGCCATTCCGTCCTTATGCAGTTGTGGGAAAAGTGTCCCACCCCCAGCACTGAACCTGTGTCAGTGTCCTCCCCAAGAGCCTGTCACTTACCCGAGGTCCCACAGGAACCTGCTGTGTTGGTAACAGCAGAGGTGGGGCCTGCGGGGCCCCACATAGACCGTTGCCTATCTGGGACAATGGAGCTGTGAAGCCACAGCTGAAGCAAAGCCAGGGCTGAGGAACCAGGGCCCTGACTTCCGAGAAACAGCCATGCTAGAGTTGCATTTGCCCCCCCCTTGTTCATCAAGCACACGACTGAGGATATCTTGGGGACCTCAGTGCCCCAAGTGACTTGGGCTATGAAAGGACAGGATGTGCTTCCGAGCACTGGGACCAGTGTAACCACAGCTATGAACAATACAATTGCATGGAGAGAAGATAGGGCACTGGTCCCATGCCCATACCCAACTCCCGCAGCACCCCGCACCACCCAGTGCCAGACCTGCCCTTTACCTCGCGGTGACTATATATTTCTCCAAATGCTGTCCCATTTCTCCCATCTCTGCCTTGTTTTCCATGTTCATTAATAAAATGTAGCTTTTTCACCTGGCAAGAAGTGTACAGTTCAGCAAACTGAGAGACCCCCAGGCCGTGACTTTGCCACCCTACTGTGCACTAGGGGCCCCGAATCCAAAGGACTGGATCATCACGACTGCCCCCTCCCTACGGGGCAGAAGCACAGCTGTCCGTCTCCTCTCTGGGAGCAGTGGCTGCTGCAAAGGCCAAGGAAGACAACGAACAGGGAGACGCTGCCACAGGCTGGGCACAGATGCCTTGTGGTCAGGGCCAGGGACTCTGAGGTCAGACAACAGCCTCAGTGTCATCCTCTGTGAAATGGGACTGCAGCCCTGGCCACAAGCACAATGAGGACAGAGAATGTGACACTGCACCTCCCTGCACACACTGGGAGGCCCCAGCTCCCAGGATGGGGGTGCCCAGGATAGGGGAGCTCTCTTCCACTGAGAACACAGCCTTCTAGGTGTGGGGACCATGGCACCAGAGCCATCACAGTGCCTGTCCGTGTACTCACCAACGGGACACTGGCAGAAGCCCAATCGTGCAGGCAGATGTCCAAGGCATAGGAGAGGAAGTGGGCCGGGTCTGTGACCTCCATGGGACCCTATGCTGCCCAACGTCCAGACAGATGCCGGTGACACCCGTGACTGTGACTGCTCCCTTCGCTGAGTCCCTGGGAGCTGCGGGGTGCCTGGCTAGACCCTGGGCACCACAGCTCAGCCTTGAAGAGGCCACTGCTGTCAGCCCCGGCTCACACATGAGGGAAGCGCCTGCCCAGCACACAGCTGTGCCACAAGTTCCCCTCTGCACCCTGAGCCCAGTCTGTGCAGAAGCCTCAGTGACCCCGAGGGCAGACACAGAGACCACAGGGTGCCACAGCAGGGAGGGGGCAGTCAAGAAGGGTTTCAGAGTCTTCAAGAGTGCACAGCCCTGGGAGATTCTGGAGGGACTCCTGGGGTGTGGAGGGAATGAGGTGGCAGGGGCCAGGGCCGGAAGCCTCCAGGGCTGTGCTCCCAGGAATGGTCTGAACTAGACCCAGTGATAGCACCAACTCCATGAGAGTCCCCTCTGGGAAAGGCCCTGGGTCACCACCAGTCCACCCCAACCCTGGCCACCTGCCAGCCCACAGCCTCAGGCTCTGTGCCATGAATGGCATGCATATGGCTGGGGGTGTCTGACCAGGGAGTCCTGAGCAGTGCCCATTGGCTGCCTTGGAAGAGAAGAGCTCCAGGCCACTGTGCCCCAAGCCCTGGGCCTGGCAGCAGGTGCCACGTGGACAGACACCCAGAGTGAAGGAGACATCAGATGTCCACATCACAAGGTTGTAAGTTCACGGTCATGTTGAGTCCCAGGTCCTGGGGGTTTGACAGTTGCAGCCCACCTGTGGAAGCCCCAGAAGCCAAGCTGAGGCTTATCTTAACCATGACTGTGGACAGAGCCTAACTGCCCACTGAAGCTGTGTGTGGGGTTCAAGATACAGGTGGACTGCCTGGCACAGGGCCGAGTGGGCAGAGGCCAGAGAGATGGCAGCCCCAGGCTTTTGTGGAAAGGCGTGAACATGAACAGCTGAGGTGCAAGAACAAGGTTCCAGTCCTGGACTGCACTGGGAAGTCACATGAGCAGCTACAGAGGGCTAGGACGTGGTGGGGACCCTGTAGATCCACGGAGTCTTCCTGAATTCTCCTGGCCATGTAGTGGCCTAGGTGCCTAATGTTGCCACTGGAGGACAACTCTGAGACGTACTGTTCCATGGCCTTTGCATCCCGGGCAAGAGAGAAGATGTGACTTGCACGTCCGGGATGTCCTTGTGTCTGGGAGAGCCAAGACCCAGGGTAAGGAGGCCAGGAGCATGAGACTCTCTCCCTGACCTTGTTCAGCTTCTGTGTGTTCCATGTAGACAGCTGAGGTGCAAACCTCATGCTCACTCTCAGCTGAGCACTCCTTCCTTAGCTGCTCGCTGTGTCTGCTGTTCTCCCATTGTCCATTCCTTGCATCAGCCACCACTAAAGCCAGGCCATCTCCAGGAAAGGACAAAGCTGGAAACTCCATGGGGTTCAGCCCACTGACACACAAGGACCGTGGACAATGGGAGGCTCCTGGAGCACACCAAGCATGCGTGGCTAGAGTCCTGTCCCTTAGTCACCTTGGTAGGTCACCCCATTCCCTCAAGGACTGAATGCCATGGCCAAGGTCATGCGGTGCTCAAATCAGTGATGCACACAGAAAATGTCCATCCCTAGAAGTCCGGAGAGCAGTGAACAAGGGCAAGGGACACACAGCTGGGGACACTGACCTCTGCTCCTCAGAGGGCATGGCCCTGTCCCCAGCTGCCCTGGGAGGCCCAATGTGGCTCAGCAGCCCCTCCCACTGGTCACATGCTGTATCTGCAGAGCCCTCAGGGTCCCCCAGGGCTTCCTTTGGAGGGCTGGGGGATGAGGACCCAGGGTGTCCAGTCACTGACAACTCCACAAGGTAGCAGTCCCAGATGCACCCCGGGGCCGTGAACCTGGACAGCAGCGGCTTAGCTCTGGTCTTTAGGTGGAACCAGCTCCAGGAGCCTGTGGGTACAGCTGACCTCAGGATATTGCAAATGGGGTGAGAACATACATAGCAGAAGGGCTCCCACCTGGGGGTGCTGAGGGCTGTTGCTCATCAGTTTCCACATCTGGACAAGGGAAAGCACCTGCCCGCCTCTCCCAGGAAAAGATGCCCAGGACCCAGAAGGGAGACACAGCTGCCCTGAGAGGGTCAATGACCTGTGCATGGCCAGAGTTGGCAAGGAGGAGGGTGCAGGTCTGCTTCCAGCTCTGTCTTCTCCTGGCTGTGAAATGGCTGCCCCACAGGTCTGTCCCCTGGAGCAGGTATTGGTAGCCTTGGAGCAACTGTGGACAGCAGGAGGCACAGCGTGGGGGTGAAGGGTAGCCAGCCACAGCCCAAAACATCTTCAGGGAAGCTCTGGTAGAGGGGCTCAGCTCAGCAGCTTCAGGAAGTGACCTCACTTCCTCATGGGACCTCACAGAACTGGGTGCCCAGCAACCAGCACCCACATTCCAGAGCTCACTCGGAGCCAGCACAGCAGTCAGTTTCGATGCTCAGGAAGATGATGCCATGTTGTTTCCCCCGATGTCGAGGCCCAGGCCCCAGGAAGACCCACTCTGGGCGCCTGGCACAGTGGTACAGGCGCTGGGCCAGCCCTCACCCCCAACGCACCTGCTGCTACCTGCAGAAAAAGGCAAGGGCCACCCTGTGGCCAGGGCAGATGTCTGTGGGCGAGGTCACCCCTGAGGCCCCACCTGGGGAGCCCATAGCTCCCTGGGGGTGTGGGAGGAGGCTGGGATAGGAGTCCATGAAAATCTGAGACCCTGAGCTAGTGTGGGTATGGGGTGGAGGGAGTCCCAGGATGGCAGAAAGCTCCCCTGACATGGCCAAGGTCCCTGCTTGTCTCTCCCAGTGTCAGGATGCATCAGCCACACGCCGGGTGCCACACAGCAACCTGGGGCCTGCCGTGATCCTGGACATGCACAGGCCACCTACGCCGGATTACCTGTGTGTGGTGGAGCAGTGGACAGAGATGTCCATGGCTCAGAAACCTCTGTCAGCGTCCTGCCCCAGAGCCCTGGAACCTCCTGACGTGGCAGTCGGTGACTCAGTCATGGTGAGGGCACATATGCAGCCTGGGTGGCCTGCAGATGCTGGGACACCAGGACCTGAGGGCTCTGCCTGGGACACAGTGGACATGAGAACAGGGCCATCCCAGTCCCTAAACCCCTCGACAACAGACACACAGCAGAACCCTGACCTGCCAGCTGTGGCCTCCCTCAGGTCACATGAGGATGTGGTTGGGGATGCTTGGGGGACAGCCGTGCCTCGAGGGGCCAGGAAGTGCCCAGGGATGGCGTCCACCAGAGAGGATGAGTCCAAGTTGGCCATGGAGCTGTGGGGCTGTGAAGCAGCTGAGCCGGAGGCCAGAGTGTCCCCAACTGCCAAGGCCCAGGTGGCAGGAGAGGCCAAAGCAGCTCTGGCCCTAGCCCCTGCCCCTGATATTCCTGTGCCAGACCCCTCCCTCATGATAGTTTTGTGCTCTGTGTTAATTCCCGTTTTCCTGATGTTCTATTCCATGTTGTCAGTGTTCTTAAAGAAAACCTAATTTGTTTGTTGAGTGTATAGTGAATGATTTAGGGCAATGTGAGTCCTGGGGCTGGTTCTCCCCGCTGGGATGTCTCTCTGCCTACTGGGCTTCCCGCTCACGATATGGGTAGCACTGGAGAGGACACTGGGTAGCCCCCCAGGCACTGTGTGAGCTCGCCCTCCTGAGGCATGAAACAATGACTTCTTGAAAGCCTGGGGAAGACCTGTGTCACTTCATCATATGGTAAATTCCCAGGTCGCCCTACTCACCCCACTGTGCAGCAAGGTGGCCAAAGCCAGGGGCTTGGAATCTCTGGAAAGGACATGGGCCCTCCCCAGGAGTAGAGACACAGCTGTCTGTCTCAGCGTAGTGAGCAGTAGCTGTCTCAGTGTCATCCTCTGTGAAATGTGACTGCAGCCCTGGCCACAAGCACCATAGGCACAGAGAATATGATACCCTGCACCTCCCAGCACACACTGGGCGCCTCCAGCTCCCAGGACAGGGGTGCCCAGGGATGGGGGAGCTTTCTTCCACTGAGAACACAGCCTTGGGTGCAGGGCCATGGCCACCAGAGCCATCACTATTGCTGTCCCGGTGCTTACCAATGGGGCACTGCAAAACTCGGTAATGTGGGCATTGATGTCTTCAGCATGGGGGTGGAAGTGGGCCAGGTCCTTGAACCCAGATAGCCTCATCCTGCCCACCCTGCAGTAGGTAGGTTTGTCCAGCATAGGGGACAGAGTGAGCAGACACCAAGCAGACAGCAAAAGTGAGCATGAACAGGTGCAATTGCCAAGCCTGGGCAGGGTCTCTGTCCTCCAGTCCTTACTGAGTCCTCCTGGCCCTGCCATGCTCCAAGTGCATGATTTGCCCACTATGTTGATTGGACAACTGAGGCTCAGAAG